AGTCAGCACACCTGGCACACGCCTGCGTGTTGCTTCCACCCGCACCTCCCTGTCACTCAACTTGAAACTCCCTGCCACGTGGAAGCGTCTTGGGGGTGATTCCAGCTTATTGGAAGCCATTGTATAAACCACCACACTCTGGGCTGGTCTTCCTTCTCCCCTTATGCCCACCGCTCTTGACTGGTGCTTGCAAAGTGCATGACCTGTAGGTAAGTACTGTTTTGTCCCCATAGTAGTTCTTTCTTTCATTCTTTTTTTAATGACTAGGCTCCCCAAATTGGGAAACTTCACATATAAAAATCAGGATTGATGACTTCCCTTAAGAGCATGGCTGCTCTGCCAGCCCTGCTGGATGGGGTGTGTGACCAGGTCCCCTCGCCCTCTCTTACCTGCCTGCCCCTCCCCTGCGTGGCTGTTGAGTTAGCTCCTCCTCCCACAGCGAGCTTAGTCACAAGGCGGGCAGAGGCAGGCTGAGGAGAACTCAGAGCTCTCAATTATATGCGTAGTTAGCACTTCCATGAGCAGAGGTTAAAACAGAACCTTCGGAAGTCTTAGATATTTCATACCCATCCATAGTCATGAGAAGCAAGGTTAATAGAAACGAGTCTTTGGTATATTAATTGGAGTGAAAGGGAGTCTTACTGAATTAATGGAATAAACGGGACGCCTGACTGATAGAATATTTTCACAGCCACCCACTTTGTTTAAAAGTCAGGTTTACTAAGGTAGACTTCGCCTGCAGTCAAATCCACCCTTTTCAGTATAGAGTTGTAAGTTTTGACACATGCACAGTTATGTAAACACCACCACAGTTAAGGTCTAAAGCATCTCCATCACCCTCCCGCTGCCTCCAATTCCTCGGTGCCCTTGTGCAGCCACCTCCCTTCCCGTCCCCCAGGCCCGGCCACCACTGCTTTGCTCTGTCCTCGTGGTTTTGCCTTTTTCATGATTCCGTAAAAATGGGATCGCGCGGTGTGCAGCTTTTGAATCTGTCTTTCAGCACATTGGGTTCGCTATTCACCTAGACATCAGTGGTCTGATCCTGTTTAATGCTGCAATATATTCCGGTGAATGGATGCACCGCCCTTGGTGTATTCATCTCCTAGTTGAAAGACGTCTGGGTTACTTCCACTTTCTGGTGGCTACAAAAACAGTCGCTGTACATATTCACAAACAGGCTTTAGTGTAACCCGAGGTTTTCATTTCTTTTGAGTCAGTGCCTAGAACTGGGACTGCTGGTGGGGGTATGGTAACTGCACGTATAATTGTATCAGAAACTGCTAACTATTTTCAAACACAGGAACACTTTGGATTCCCGCTAGTAAAGCATAGTGTTCCAGAGTTCTGTATCTTTAGCACCACTTTCTCTGTTATCCATATTGTTTTGTTTGATTTTGTTTAACCATTCTAACAGGTGGTAGTGGCATTTCTTTGAGGTTTTAATTCTCACCTTCGTGACTAATGATGGGAATTCTTTCTCATTCTTCTGTGCCATCTGATATCTTCATCGGTGAAATGCCTTTTTCAATTCTCTGCCCGTTTTTTAGTGGTTGTCATTTTCTTATTTGTTGGCCTTCGAGGGTACTTTATGTATTATGTGTGCAAGTTCTTTATCAAATTTGTGTTTACAGATGTTTTCTCCCAGCAAGTGTCTTTAGAAGAGCAAAGGTTTTTCATTTTCATGAAGTTTAATATGTTAATTTTTTTCTTCGTAATTGTGCTTTGGTGTCACATCTAAGAGATCTTTGCCTAACCCAAGGTCACAAGGATTCTCCAAACGTCTACAGTGATATGCAAGTACTTCATGTTTCTGCTGATTTTTTTTT